TCAAGGTTCGCATTAACGAAGTACCTACGAACATTGTTAATATTTTTCCCGTATTCAACGGATATGATAAAAAATCAGGCCAACCAAAATTATGGAAAGCTGTAACCAATTCATAATCAACTAGGATAAGAACACCGAGGTCACTCCATGAAATTAAAATATTTTACCGCGCTACTTATAACGGACAACGCCATCTAGCGGACAACGTTCACAACAATGTAATGATCTTACGAAATAACTATTTTTTATTTTTTGCATATAAAATATAAATTCATATTATTATTATTTAAATACCAAACAGTATTTATGACCCGAGAACTGTTGAACAGACTTCAATGAATATCTATCAGATAATTTTCTCCTTTGTTTTTTTTTTTAATAAAGCGTAAGACAGCAAAAAAATCTAGACAGTTTAAAGAAATCAAAATTTACATGAAACAGCTGTTTTTAATCTCCATTGTTCCTACTAACGCGAAACTATAAAAAAAAGGATTTAGGCAACCAGGTGAGTTGTGATATAGGGCAACGCGTCAACATTTCAATAATATTCTTAAACAATAAACAAGAGTCAAGAGAGATTTACTATATTTTGAAGCCATTCTGCGTCGGCAATACCTGTTGTATTCACGCGAATAGTAATTTGAAAGAGCTTGTAAAAACACCTTGGATATGCGTACGACAGGTGCTAGTAGATTGCTTTTTAAGCTGGTTAGGCGTTAATAAAGACACGATCTTTTTATGCATGAAACTTTAGGATTAATTAAATTTATTTATAGAAAAATGTGAATATAAATAGTGAAAAGTGGGTGTTATATTGTACAGTGGCATTAAGTGCCCTGTAATGTGCACCTCTGCCTACCCCTTCGGGGATACAAAGCGTAATGTTATGTTATATTTAAATAAAAGGGATGAATGTTGAGTGATGTTTTAGATTTGATCTAGGGGATATACTAATTATACACTTTTATCATACAAGTGATTTGATAGTGAAATCAAATAAAATTACATTTAAATATCAATATTTTAAAATTAAGCTAGCTGAGGTTTTTATATTTTATCTGAGTTCTGTAAGACAAAACATCTATACAAAATTAAGGGGGACTATGCAATATTTCTCTGCCTGTTAATATAGTAGGTTGTTAGCTTTGCTTAGTACCTACATAATTATACCAGTAAAAATAAGCAAACTTATTACTTAAACTGTCAAAGACCAAGCGGTCACCGGTGACCGCGACCTATTGTTCTTTAATTGTGTCTATAAAACCGGTACTCGACGAGTTATCTCCTACAAAATACAATCTAAATCTAATCACCTATACCTAAACCAATTTTTAAGATAAAACCACAATGCCAGCAACACGTGACGCATGTCCTAGGAAAATTAAATAAAACCAGTGATTCAATGTAGTGACGGCATTGAGAGTGCCCCTGTCTGTTAAAAATGCTAAGCTTCCGCGTTAGAGTAACATTATATGTTTTTACTATCTAAAAATAGATCAAAAATAGGTGATAAGGCCTTTAACTCTTTTAGATCGACCTTTAAGCATTTGGAGGACGATAATCGGTACTAACTTCTACTTGATGCTACTGAAGGTTGTGTAAGAATAAGAATAAAGAATAAGATTAAATATAAAAAAATCATTATAATTAAATATAATCAAAATAATAAAGAAAACACTGATTTAAATTCTGGAAAATAAAAGTTCAATCCACGCGATTTACTTATAATAAATTCGCATTGATGAATTATTTAAGGTGCACGCGCCATCTAGCGGACAAACATGCAACTCGGAACAAAGTACCTATCACATGTTGCGCTGAGAGCATACTGAAAGTAAAAGAAAAAAATTATAACTACCTGTATTTTTTTTCACATTTCGGTCCTATTGTATTTAATATCACGTAAAGTGAATGTTTCATTATAACTGAGCAGGTAGTACCTATAGCTTTAGCATCTGCTTTTAATGGTACTCAAAGTAGGATAAATAACAAATTGTGGTCTAATAACGTCATAGGACAATAGGTTTTGTATTGTGTGATTTTTTCATGTAAGTATGTACTACATACTACCTGACCCTAATTATTATTAAAAATTTAGTACTATGTAGAAGTAGGTACAAAAGTGGGTGTGACATTGTACAGTGGCATTAAGTGCCGTAATGTGCACCTCTGCCTAACCCTTCGGGTATAAAACTAACCCGGGTATAAAAAGCGTCATTTTATATTATGTATGACACTATGTAAAAGTACCTCCCTATTTAATAAAAAAAAACGAAATCATTTGAATGAAAAATTGCAATATTTCCTTTCACCATATCACCAAATCATGGATAATGGAGTCAATAAGGCAAAAATAATTGTTGGTGACCATGGAAAAAATGTTTCATAAACATGCATCATTTCGGTTGAAAAGAAGTAAAATGAACATGTAGTAGTAGTACCCTACATATTATATTATATTAATTTTGTTTTATAGTACAAAAACAGTTTAGTTTTCAAAAGATTAATTTACGGTTGTAAGGAGATCAGAAAAATTAATAATATGAACTATAACTTTCAATCAAATGGTCAGTTCTTATCAAGAATAACAAGAAACAGATTTAATAAGAATTTGTTAACACTTACCCCACTTTAATCTTTAATTTAACACAAGTTCATTCACCTAAATGCATCATTATTTCACTCCTAGTTTAGTACCAACGAAAGACAAACACTTAACAGAAAAAAAACAAAACAAAAAAGTATGTTTAAAGAAAACAAATGCACATAAATAAGAAAACATTGACTCAATCAGTGCACTTATTTTGCAGGCGAATAATTGCAATTCAATATAGGACAGGGTAAAAGGGTTAAAACATTTATGAATACAATCAGATGCAGTGCTGCCATCATTAAAATGTATATATGACTGCACCAGGAGCTGGGTCAAGGAGAGAGTGGAATAGTGTCAAGATTTCTTGAGTGTAAACATGATAAAGCTAGTTCAAAATTGGAATGTGTTTTGTGTGTGTGCCTGTATTATTTTTTATTGAAACCATAGATGTACCTATTCTTTTTTTTATTACAACAGATTATAGGGTATGACAATTGCTGCCTGTGTTTTAGACAATTTTTTTTAAATACTATACTTATTGTACTGAAATGTCTGGTGCCAACAAAGGCTACCAATGTTTTAAATATAAAAGTTTGTAAGAATAATGGAGGTATGTTTGGTATGAACAACAAAAACTGCTGAATGCATTTGTATGGAATTTAATACAAAGGTAGATTTTAGTCTGGGATAAGACTTTTATGGGGTACTTGTTATCCCAGGAATATAGGCAGTAAACAAATAAACACAAATTTAAGCATGCATTATGTAAATGAAAATTATTGTACTAAAATAATTGCTTTTGTTTCATGTTATTCTAAATAAAATATCTTTCATAGAAAAATATTTTCTCCTTTATGAAAAACACAGGTATTTATTTCATTTCAAATCCATTAATGTATTGAATAGAATTAAATTCATGCATGACCACTTTTAAAACATTTTGTGAACAAACATTGTACAAGATTACTATAATAATTCAAAAGGAATAACAAATAATTACCTGCAATGGTATAAATGTACCTTGCTAACACATGGCTGAACTAAAGGTAGGTACATAACACCATGGTTCAAGGTCACTAACCACTCTGATACTATTTTAATGAAACCAGAATAATGCAATACCAATATTTCACACATGTATGCGCATAACTTCACGAAGGAGGCTCTGGTGAAATTACTAGAAAGGCAAAAGTATACGAAACAAACACGAGCTATCGCGAGCTAATGAAATCGTTCTCCATATTGCCTTGACGTCACATTGAAATACCAAACAATGGTACATGAAACGAATCGCTTTAATGCAATTATTTATGTACTAAGCATCAAAAAATAAACTCATAAGTGAGTAAAATTGTAATAAAATCAAACGTCAAGGGCGAAATATCCATTATTAGTTTGACAATTCTCTTATTCTAAAATAGTAAGCACACTTACCAATTTCTGCCGTTTTCTTCACTTTCCGATACTGCCATACACTTGAAATGATGAACCCAGAAGAAAAATAGTTAAAGAATTTGATTGTACCTTAAAATTAAGGAATTAAAAACAAAAGAAGAAGAAATATACAATATATGGAAGGGGTAATGCAAATCCTACGCTGTCAATAGTGTCAAGGTGTCAAATCAAATGGGTTTACATATTTAAGCCTGCACAGAACAATAATTAAACGTAAATGACAACTAAGTTATAGTATCGCGTCCGTTAATTATGTGTATTATATTATAAGCAGTGGACACAGTTTAGTATAACTTAAAATATTTTTTATGTTAAAAAACAACTATCCATTTACATTTGTCATCATCATGATATAAAATTTATGTAACTTACAACATCTAAAAATACTCGTTTTAACAGAAAGTAAACAAGTAATTTCAAAATTCTAATGTAATAAAAATAGATTTTGCTAGAAACAAATCGTATTTTTGTCGTTTTCTCATAAATAGTAAACTAGATTTTTAGGTAAATAGACTAAACTAACTAAACGTATTCGTCCTCTTTTATAACTCCAATTGTTTATGGTATTTCGTTCTAAAATGACACGGTGTTTTGACACTAAAGTAACTGAGTTGCACTCAAACAAAATATGCTTGCAAATGAAGCTGAAATCAATCACCATTATTATTGCGTTGATATTCCATTACTTTCGATTTCTATGTATTTCCGTAAATATTAGCCTTATAAGTAAAAGTTAAGAAAAAGTAGATCACAGACAAACTGATTTCAGACTATCGCAAAATTTCCAAACGAAATATAATAATAACCTCAAAAACAATCTTAAAATCATCTTTTTCGTTTTGCTTGACAAGTTCAGTTTGTCTGTATTATGATTATTTAGATAGAATTTGTGTGAGAATTATTAGTTTCTGTTAGAAGCCGAGGTATAGACGAATAATAAATAAACAACAGAATGGCTGACGAAGAAATTAACGGTGATACTGATGATATTCAACACGACAAAGATAAAACCCAGAAGAAGACTGCAAAACATGATAGTGGAGTAGCAGATTTGGAGAAGGTTACAGATTATGCTGAAGAGAAGGAAATATCTTCGCAAGATATATCTGGGGTACGTAATTGTAGCAAACAATATTATGTACTTATTAGGAATCGTACCTCTTGTCGTTTCATGCGACAAGAGTTCCAATAAATATTCACATGTCAATAGGTCAATTATTTCATATTCACTATCGTTCCGTATTACTGTAGAATGCTTAGATTATTTCATGATTATATTTAAATAATATCAAACTCTGTGCTGACTGCCTCGTTGGCCGAATGTTCGCAAGTGCGACTGCCGGGCAAGGGATCTCGGGTTCGATTCCCGGACCGGGCAAAGTATTAAGTACTGGGTTTTTTTTAATTCTCAGTAGTAACACGGAGTCTGGAATTGTACCCGGCATATGGCAATAGGTTCACCCTCTATTACATGAGACTCATAACATAAAAAGTGAAATGCGGGTGTTACAATGTATGTACAGTGGTATTTAAGTGCCGTAATGTGCACCTCTGCCTACCACTCCGGGGATAAAAGGTGTGATGTATGTATATGTACTATGTACAAATCTTTTATAGGTATCCGGAAGTCTACACATCATTATCATCTACTAGTTTTTGTTATGGCATGTCTACTTCCATATTTAATTTGTCTAGCGTATTTAACATGTAAAACTTCAATGTTTACAGGCACTGTCGTTGATCGGTGACAGAAGAAATAAAGAGGCTGCCGAGCGTCTTGAAAAAGAGAAGGAACTACAAAAGGTTTCAGTAAAAAAGGATGATATAGAATTAATTGTAAGTATTTAATAATAAAATTATTAGTTTTAGGTTTTGCCATATTAGGCACAAAATCTTTACTTGGTAGTTGAAGGAAGATTGGGAGGTCTTTGTCCTGTAGTGGTATGATCATGGCTAACAATAACATAAAATAAAGTCATGTCATGGCATGTTTTCCTTACTGTCCTTCTTTATACCTTCTCCTCCATCCTCCCATTCTCTTCTATTTATTTCTTCTAAATTAATTTATTCACATGGAATGTGAAAAACAAAATTGTGTTGAAAACATTTAAAAGGTCAAGGGCACAATAACTTCCTGAGTAACTAAGTGTGGGAGAGCCATGCTTCGGCACGAATGGGCCGGCTCGACCGGAGATCACTCCGGTCGAGCCGGCCGTTTCTGTGAGGCCGTGGTATCAACCACGGCCTCACAGAAAACCGACGTGAAGCAATGCTTGCATTGTGTTTCGTCGTGTGAGTGAGGTCACCGGCGGCCCAATTACCCTCCCCTTCCCCAATCTCCCCAATTCCTGAATCCCCAACTTACTGATCCTCAAACTCCTAATCCCCAAAAGGCCGGTAATGCACTTGTAACGCCTCTGGTGTTCCAGGTGTCGATGGGCGACGCCGATTGCTTACCATTCGGATCCGTCGGCTCGTTTACCGGCTTATGCCATAAAAAAAACTAATTGTTCTACAAATTAGATCACCTATTTTATAGCTTACGTAAATTTTTTGTTATGGAACTTGATTTCCCATTGTAGAATTCTCAAATCATGTTATTGAGATACTTGAGACTTGCTGTATAATCAGATTGCTACATGCTATCAAAGAAAAATACTTTATCAATACATTTAATACGAGAACACAATGTATTCTTGTATTAAAAGTTAGTTACAAATGTTTTAACACAACATTATTAATTTCAGGTAAAGGAGTTGGAAATATCTCGAACATTAGCAGAAAGAACTTTAAGAGAACACCGGGGTGACTTGGTAGCGGCATTAACTACTCTTACTGACTAACTGACTACTTGCAACTATATTATAAGCTATGTTCACTAACATACTATTGTCAAAACTTATGTGAATAGAATTTTCTATCCAAAGATTGGTGTAGTTTTTCATACATTCATACATATAGTCTCTTCAATATGATAGATTTAGACTGCATTGTGGTTCAATGTTAACATTAGCTGTCTGTGACAGACTCTAAAGAAAGAGTACTCAGAGGCATGTTATGGCACTTAATACCACTGTACAATGTAACACCCACTTTTCACTATGAGTCCCATGTATTAGGGGGTGTGCATATTGCTATATACCGGGCATAATTCCAGACTCTGTGGTATTACTGCGGATTTTTATAAACCCTGTAATACTTTGCCCGGGTGTGCGATTCGAAGTGCGCCTTGCGATCACTCGGCCAACGAGGCAGTCTATGCTGTCTGTATAATATGCATAATGATGTTCAGATTGCATTTCTTACATCACAGATATAAAAGGTTATTTTTGCCTAGGAAAGGGATGTATCCATACATAATGTAGGTAAAGTAAATATGCAACATAAAATTTAATCCCTGAAAATAATATGTCAGTTCACTCAGTACGTAGTTATTAGTAATCTTGTAGGTATACTTGGTCCTGTTTTTATAATAACTATCGTGAGACATACTATATTAACTAAAATCGTGGTTTACTTAGTAGAACCCCTCTGTGGTTCGAAACTAGTAGAGCTTTTCTCAGTATATTCACGTGAGTAACCTGCAATTTTTAGTTAATACTAGGTCCTATCCAGACTATTTATTTTCAATGCAATTGCAATATTACCTATGTTTTAAACTGTCAAACACCAAGCGGTCACCGGTGACCGCGACCCATTGTTCTTTAATTGTGTCTATAAAACCGGTACTCGACGAGTTAATTTTACTTTTTGGTCCAATTTCATCATCATGTGTAAATTATAAAGCAATCAAGTTTCGACCAATTGATTTCTTATATCAATATCTATAAGTATTATTTTACTGCTTAATGCTTATACACATTACATAAAATACACTCAAGACATTTGTTTACTCATGTTTTGAACGATATGACAATATAATTCTCGATGCGCCATTCTTATCTAAATCCTGCAGCTACTTGAAGCATTAATCAAAAAGCAAGAAGCAAATAAAACACATATTTTACGTAATAAAAGTATAAATAAGAACAGTAACTTTATTATAATTACTTTTTAAAGAGTTATCTACTTAATTTATAGTAAGCTAAGGTTCAAAATACTGAGCGGTTCTGATATTCAAATGTGATTGACTGTATTGTGATTGTCTTCTGTTTTGTTTTCTGGCGTGTATGGCGGAGGCGGAATGCTGCTGTCGTGTATCTGGAAAATATTAATTTTGTTAATTTAAACATAACTAGTTTTTACTTGTGGTTTTGCCCGCGTATTTCTGTTCTATCCAATGGGAGCATTTAACAAGAGCATAAGTCAGCCCATACCCTGTCTGTATACCAAATTTTATCAAAATCCGTTCAGTAGTTTCAGCGTGGTTGATGGCTAAACATCTAAACATAGAACTTTCATATTTATGTATAATATTACTGTGATTTATTGGTCTGCATTGGTTTAGCAAGTACTTATAATTATACCAAGATGCATAGATAAGTGCATAGATGTTTATAAACAAATCATAAAGTGGAACTGTGGATCTCTCGTCCTCTTTGTCACTTTAGTTAGGTGATAGTAAAAGGATTTTTCTTTTGATCGTTCAATGACTTCTCCCGCCTGGGTGAGGCGGGGGAAGTCATGACGCTCCCGTCAGACTCTTACTGACTAAAAACCACCCCGTTCCTACTACTGCTATTCGAGTCGGAGCCCTGGCAACCCGTTGGGTCTTCCGCGACTTCGTTATAGTTAAAGGATAGAAGCACCGAAAAGTGCTACTTGGTGCGACCAGAATGCCAGATATACCTACTCCCTTACCCTTGAGATTTTCAAATCGGTCTTGGAATACTTATTACGGTATTTAGAGTAGATATTCATAAATACTTACAAATCCAGCATTGAGAAATGCTATGGCAGGATATGTGGCTGACCCTGCTGCCGGTGTCCGAGAATATCTGGAATCGTACAGATTACATTATACCATTATTATACCTACTATAATAAAACATAGGTACCTTTCATTCCCTGCCCTGGAGGGGTTAAGCAAAGTAGGAGCTATTCTAGTTATGTTATGAGTCCTATGTAATAAGGATTAAGCCTATTGCCATACACCGGGCACATTTCCAGATTCTGTACTGATTGACCTTCCAAAATAAATTATTTTGCTTCACTCAGGTATCAAACCTGATACCCCTGGATGCTTGTGAAGTTTTGACCACGATCAAGGAACGAGGCAGTAGCTGTACCAGGGCGTGGGCTTGATTCTGTTATTTTCCTGTAGTTTCCTATCAATCAGGAAAAATGATTAGATGACACATCACTTGTAGATAAGTAAGTAGGTATCTAGTTACCTACTATAGGTACCTATTTATGATTACTTACTGTTTACAATTGTACCGTAATTACCTACCACAAGTAATCACGAGACTGCAACTGATTAATCAATCGAGATCTCTATCATTGGGGAGATTGTAATCAGTTTGCGTTATCTAAATAAAAAATAAGTAGGTAACTTGCTGAGAAACTCCCACTTCTACCTGCTTAAACCTTCCTATCTACTTATTTAGTAGTTTAAAAGACGGGCACTATAAATTACTTATCGAAACAAAAAACTTACCTGAGACAGTAAACCTAGGTACCTAGACCTATCTAGTAGCTATAAGTCATAATTATTTACAAATTCTATCAATTATCTGCCTCATTCATCAAGTGGTGACAAAAATGAATGCTGTGCAATGTACCTACATAATTGAAAGAAAAAGCTTTATTTCACATGTTAAATAAAACAGGTGACATATACTGATTTTCATGTACCTACAGTTTATAAGTACCTACTAATGTGCCAAGTCTGCGGTGAAATGGTACCAGTTCAGCATGTGCAAGACAGGGCCTTGCGCTGGTATTCTACTGGCCCCTTAAGTGACTCAATGTAATTAACATAATGTAGATATGAAGATATGTACCTAGCCAACCTACCTACATACAATTCCGTACGCATGTTGGTCGCAGGATAATCCTGCTCGTTTAAAGTGGGCCAGCTGTAATTATTATTTAATTTAAACACCAAAGCCTTCCTCTTAATTCCACGTCCTTTAGGAGACTGGATTACATGGTTAAACTTACCATAAAATGGTTACCTATTTAATTAAGTAATCATTTTGCATTAAAATCTGTTTCCCGCAAATGAAAAACCTTGGGGACCAAAGTATTTAATATCTAATCGTCTATTTCCTTATTGATGGTGCTACTAATTAGGTGTTTACGTCAACATTTATTATTAAAGGTAAAATCAGAGGATGATGACGTCATTAAATAAAAAAGTGTTATTATTATTACCTTGGAGGAGCGTCTCGTAATCGTTCGTCGACGTATAACTGTAGACTTCCAATTGACAGTCGACCGTCACTGTTAGATCCTGCTCCGAAGGGCCTGAGAAAATTAAAAAAATATGTTTCATTGTTTTAAATGAAAATTTCGGAATTATTATTACCTAAAAATAATAATAATGTATGCTTAGATCTTTGAAACTACGCAACAGATTTAGATGCGGTTTTTTAATAGATATTTCGCGTTAAGCTTCCTTGTGCGAACACCTAAGGAATAAACTCTTTGCCGGAATCTGTTTCCCGAAAAATAAATCTTGGGTGTCTTCAAGCCCTGATTGGACAGGTTGCTCATAGGTAGTTGTGCTCCGTCGTCGGCCACATTATCGCTTACCACCAGGCGAGATCGTGGCCAAACGTCGACCCATCAAGTATAAAAAAGAGAGTTAAAATTGTACTTACTTATGTACAGATAATTACCTTATATCTGTAGTAGCACATAGTTTGTAGAGGAGTATGAACGTGGCTATGATCCCCAGGATGAGCGCCGCGCCCATTATCACCTGGGTGCTGGAAATCAGAAGAATTTGTTCTAGGGATTCCCTGGAACGTAACATCAAATACTATATTGATTAAATCTATACGAATAGAAATAATAGTTTGTCTGTCTGTTTTTTTATTCGAATAATTATTTTTTCATATGGCTGTTACCTATATACTTATTCTTTAGATAGGCTACCTAGATCCACGCTTAAGGGCGAGTTATCATTAATCTATATATAGAGGTGCGCATTATGCCACTACCTATACAATGTAACGCCCACTAAACACTATTTATGTTATGAGTTCCATGTAATAGGGGTCAGCCTATTGCCATATACCGGACACAATTCCAGACACCATGCTACTACTGAGATTTTTTTTAAATCCAGCAATACTTTGTCCCGGGACCCCTTGCCCGGCAGTCACACTTGCGACCACTCGGCCAACGAGGCAGTCTTAGCTAATCGTATGGAAAGGATTTGGTACCTACTGAAGTCAGTGTCATTATAGGAAAGTGCCATTAACATTTATTTTATTCAACAATTACTTAACATTTGCATTGTCAAGGAAGGGCACACATGTTAATATATTATTGTCTTGAAGTAGATATTTACGAAGTACATAATATTATCATAGGTAATCAGTACAAATCAAAATTATTAGTACTTAATCATTTTGATAACAATATTATCAACTTCATCATTGATCCTTTCATACTGATATATTTATGAGTGGGTACTTTGATTAATAAAAAAGTTAATTTGATTTCCTGTTTCATTAATATTTGCTTACCTTCATACGTTCAGTTTTAGTTCTTATTAAACCTAACAACATGTACTATAAACGAATCAGATAGGTGTTAATGTAAGGTACTTATTTTGTGAATCTCTCAGGCAATGATATTATAAAGAAGATACGCTACGTCCATACTAAGCGGCGTCCAAAAATTGTTGCGTTCTTATTACAAATGTACTTAAATGTCATTTTCAACTACGTGCTACAGATAATACGGAAAGTATGGTACAGAAAGAGATAGCTATTTACAAATTACGACAATTGTCTGAATTCGTTCGCAACAATTTTTGCGTGCCAGTGCGATATCTACCTCTTTTTATTATTTATAATATCATTGCTCTCAGGTATAATTATAGATACGTTATAAAAATAATGACTGAAGTTTTGTATCCAAATTATTATATGGGTAGTAATAAAAGCTCCGACAAGAAAAGAAGAATTGTCCTTACTGAAAATATTAAATCTACTGCCTAAAACACTAACTTTCTACTTTACATGACTGTTTATTGCTACAATACTAACCTAACCTAAACTAAAACGTCTGTTGTCGGTAACTTAGTAATTTTATCGGAGGTTCAATATTCTATTCGGAAGTTTAGTTTTGTTATTCGAAGATCCATTCTTATAGTCGGCCACAGATCGCTGGAGATTAATTTGTTTTTCAGAACCATTATTAATTTCCTTATTATATTAATTAATTGTCCTTAATTTTCTAGTCAACGACGACTTTAGACTTTCCCGTCCCTTTGCCGTACGTTCGTAGCTAGTAATTGGATTGGATTGCATTGGATTTGCTACGATATATATGCTACGGCGTAGCCCGTAGTCAAAGCATAAGGAGACAGCCACAAAAATAATAAAATGAGGGTGTTCATTTAAAAATTAAAAATATAAATCTGATATAGTAGGTGTTCAAGTTTAAAAATAAAACACTATAATGATTTTTTACACATTAGCCGACTGGTATCTAAAGAATGTCAGTAACCGGACCGCGTTAAATCGGTTAGTATCGCGTTTAATATTGTTTAAAAAATATAGCGGACTATATTTGTATTCTTATTCGAATAGAATAATGTTTAATGATTAGGCAGAAGTAATGAATGAATGGTACCTAATGTAAGTTTTTATTGACTACTAACTGTAGCCCGCGACAACGTCCGCGTAGAATATATCGAGTGTACAGCCGCTAGCTATTCGAGCAAATACCGATTATGCCACCCCCCTTTTTGTTAAGTGGGTAAAAAGTCATCAAATGACTCTTGAGGAAGCGACTTAATTACAACTCTTACTGATTAAAAACGACCCCATTCCTTTCAACACTTGCTCAAAGCCGAGGCCTCAGTACCTGTATGCTACATACCCTCCAACAAGGCAACAATCCCAGTGGGCCTCGTCTATGGTCTGATGGCACTTTGAGGCCTGCCTCTTACGCGCCGCGCCGCGCCGTACGCTCGGGTCTGGTACTTGTCAGGTGGTGAGCTATACTTGATTGCCGTCCGCAGACTCGCGCTTACGGCGGCCGGAGATCCCGATTACGCGACGCGAAAAATTTACCTCCGAAAAATGTTAGAGGATACTTTTTAGATTTCGAGGTACTCTCGAAAGTGTTCGAGGACGCTCGATAGTTTTCGAGGACGCTCGAAAGTGTACGAGGACGCTCGATTGATTTCGAGGACGCTCGAAAGTGTACGAGGATGTTCGATTGATTTCGAGGACTCTCGATTGATTTCGAGGACGCTCGATAGTTTTCGAGGACGCCCGAAAGTGTACGAGGACGCTCGATTGATTTCGAGGACGCTCGATAGATTTCGAGGACGCCCGAAAGTGTACGAGGACGCTCGATTGATTTCGAGGACGCTCGATAGTTTTCGAGGACGCTCGATAGTTTTCGAGGATGCTCGAAAGTGTACGAGAACGCTCGATTAATTTCGAGGACACTCGAAAGTGTACGAGGACGCTTGATAGATTTAGAGGATGCTCGATAGTTTTCGAGGACGCCCGAAAGTGTACGAGGATGCTCGATTGATTTCGAGGACGCTCGAAAGTGTACGAGGATGTTCGATTGATTTCGAGGATGCTCGATAGTTTTCGAGGACGCCCGAAAGTGTACGAGGACGCTCGATTGATTTCGAGGACGCTCGATAGTTTTCGAGGATGCCCGAAAGTGTACGAGAACGCTCGATTGATTTCGAGGACGCTCGATAGTTTTCGAGGACGCCCGAAAGTGTACGAGGATGCTAGATTGATTTCGAGGACGCTCGATAGTTTTCGAGGATGCTCGAAAGTGTACGAGGACGCTCGATTAATTTCGAGGACGCTCGATAGTTTTCGAGGACAATCGAAAGTGTACGAGGACGCTTGATTGATTTAGAGGATGCTCGATAGTTTTCGAGGACGCCTGAAAGTGTACGAGGATGCTCGATTGATTTCGAGGACGCTCGAAAGTGTACGAGGACGCTCGATTGATTTCGAGGACGCTTAATAGTTTTCGAGGACGCTCGATAGTTTTCGAGGACGCTCGTAAGTGTACGAGGATGCTCGATTGATTTCGAGGACGCTCGATAGATTTCGAGGACGCTCGATAGTTTTCGAGGACTCGCGATAGATTTCGAGGACGCTTGATAGTTTTCGAGGACGCTCGATAATTTTCGAGGACGCTCGATAGTTTTCGAGGACGCTCGAAAGTGTACGAGGACGCTCGATTGATTTCGAGGACGCTCGATTGTTTTCGAAGACGCTCGAAAGTGTACGAGGACGCTCGATTGATTTTGAGGACGCTCGATAGTTTGCGAGGATGCTCGAAAGTGTTCGAGGAGGCTCGATTTATTTCTAGGAAGCTCGATAGTTTTCGAGGGCGCTCGAAAGTGTTCGAGGACGCTCGATAGTTTTCGAGGACGCTCGTAAATGTACGAGGATGCTTGATTGATTTCGAGGACGCTCGATAGTTTTCGAGGATGCTCGATATTGGGCTATTGGGCCTCATCCGTGGTGGTCTGATGGCTCTTTGAGGTGCGCGCGGAAAGCGATGCGCCGTACATTCGGGTACTGAAATATTTTATTATTTACCAACTTTTTATATATACCTCTACTATATTTAAGAACGAAACCAATTTTTGTTTCAATTTTCCAAAATTAAAGTAGCCTATGTTACTCCTTAGTACATCAGCTACCTGTCAGTAATATATACCACCAGTATAAAAGTCTTGCAAAATCAGTCCAGCCATTCCAGAGATTACCTAGTTATTTTGGTATGTGTATGATGTATCGTGTGTATATCATATGTGTGTAGTTTAAAGCGGTTATTTTAATATTACAAACATACACTTCAATTTTATTTATCTCTATACGCAGCTGGTGCGGTAGCTGATTTGATACACGTACGAAATAAATTCTTTAAGTCTTTTTTTTTAAGGTGGTAAAATCACCGAATGACTGCTCCCGCCTGGGTGAGGCGGGAGGAAGTGTCAGACTCTTACTGGCTAAAAACCACCCCGTTCCTTCTCCTGCACGTCGAGCCGGAGCCCCGGTAATCCGTTAGGTTCTGTGAGTTAGTAAAAGCACCAGTGAGTGTCCTGTGAATATTACCTACTTTATTTTGTTACAGATGATTGAGCAGCTGACAATGCAAACACTACCGCACGGCTAAAGCTAAAAAGCATATCAGTGGATTCCTTAAAAGTCCTCATCAGTTGGACACTCCCCACACACGGAACCACTCACTCATTTATTGTTAAGCCTTTGTATGCCGACAGAAAACTGCTGAAGGCAAATCCTCCGCTAACATAGGTCACCGGTGACCTACGCGGCGGTCAACGTGTTAAAACTCCTTTGCTTATATGAGATTGTTAAGCGTGAACAAAACTGTAGGCAAAGAAGCTTGTTTATAAAACAAAATCCACACTAAACCAAACCAATTCGCTAATGCAGGTGCAATATTCGTGCAAAATACTCCACAAGGCCATTCCATTTTCCGTAAGTAGGATTTCCATTTTGGTCCTCAAAATACTTCTTAAAAACGTGTATGCGAACCTGCAAGTCCATTTACCGAAGTCATCGTAGCATGGTTGGCACACTCCCTGCCAACACGACAGAGTTCCGTTCCCGTATATGTTACAACACGGGCCCATACATGTCTCTCCTAATCCTGAAATACAGAATATTTCATTACAATTTTTTGTTACTAGGTAATTAGTGGGTGTGTCGTTTGAATTTGTACTGGTACAGGGAGAATGAAACAAGTGAATTTATTTCTGCAAATAGGCTACAAGGCAGTACTTTTACACGTCAGTTGTAGAGTTTTGGCTATAAACCGTAAATATTAGACTTTTACTGGTTTCTATTGGACCTATAAATAGTGGCAAAGAGTCACTTTTCTTGAACCATTATGACTAATGACACAGTCTCAATCTTTAATACAATGTTGACTGTTGTTTTTAGCAATTTTATATGTATTACAGATTATTTTATTCACATTTATTTTATTGCAAATTCGACAACATTTCTGTATAATTATTAATTATTAACTGTATTAGTATTACATAATACATATGTGCAGACGTCAAAGACAACAACAAACAATGATGGTAATTGTATCAGAAATCGATCGAACGCATAAAGTTTTCCAGATAATAGATAAGTACTGAGATATTGTGGCTTAACGTGGGTTCCAGTTATCAGTACAATAACCCAGAGAGGTTCATCAATATAGCCATAAAGCCTACAATATTCATTTGAATTTATGACCACTGTGTACTATGACGAGTATACAGACTAAATACATAATGTATTCATTGTCATATTATTATGTATTCGTGTATATATGAATAAATGGATTGTCTAGCAGCCTACAAAGGATTCACTCGTTTTTAACCCTTAATTGCAAAGAACATTACATTTTTGGTTATATATTGAGTGGTCGCAAGTGCGACTGCCGGGGCAAGGGGTCTCGAGTTCGATTCCCGAGTCCGGCAAAGTATTATTGGGTTTTTTCAAAAAATCTCAGTAGTAGCACGGAGTCTGGAATTGTGCCCGGTAAATCGCAATAGGCTCACCTCGTATTACATGGGACTCATAACATAAATAGTGAAAAGTGGGTGTTACATAGTAACTGTACTATATGGCACTTAATGCCACTGGGCATTAAGTGCCGTAATGTACACCTCTCTGCTATGTTATGTTATGTAAAAATATTACCTAGCATGTAGAAAAAGTCTGTTTATCGTATAAAATTCTTTACGATGGAAGCATGCACTATGCATTTAAGGGTCAAGCGACCAGAGACAAAGTATTCTTTGTATTAACATAGAGACCTTGTACCTCGTATTTCAGAAAATTGGTGTAACATCGACGGTTTTGATCAATCCAACACGACGAGTATCTCCTGCCGTGAGATAAATGAAATAGGGTAGTTTCCTAAATTTTATTTTAATGTCCGTCCGGTACATTAATTTAAAACTTTAGGCACGTTTTTTCTTTTATCACAAAATTAAATACTTTCAACGATATGTTAATTTGAAATATCATGTGACGTCACAGCGTGTCACATTTTGTAGCACGTTATGACGTAACGACCTCCCACTCCTAAACTTAGCGCCATTTTATCTAAGTATTACAACTTAATACGAGAAAATAAAAAAATACGTGTCTAATATTTTTTCATTATCTAACTAACTGAACTTTTGATACCCTGGAAACTGCCCAATTACGGAAATCTCGGAAGGTTGATGACTAAGGGCTTCGGTTGTGCCCAAAACTAGTCGATATTATGCACCATAGATATACAATAAGTCTATTGAATAAGAACTTACCTGGACATCTCATACATTTGTCCTGGAAGTGGTTTGGTATATAACCCTTGGCACAATAGCACGTGCCATCGATACATTCATATCCTTCTCCAACGCAGTCTATCTCCAAACATTTGTCTGTAACATAAATGACGTCATTACTGTCTGTCCATCAATTTTATTATATGTCGAAGCAAAAACAATAAGTAATCCTTGAACATTATCTACTACATATGACATGACAATTTGTTGTATAGAATTTTCATCATTGTGAAGTTAAATCTCGGTTGCGATATAGCAAAATATAATAAATATCATTTTCATCGCCACAAACAAGTTACGCATATTGAAATGATTGAACCTATTTGTTTATATAAGTTGTATTAATATAATATGCTTATAATAAGATCGTAAAATAGTTTATGGAAATTAGACATAGATTAGAAACATAATGTAAAGTGTGGGAGAACCATGCTTCGGCACGAATGGGTCGGCTCGACCGGAGTGATACCACGGCTTCACAGAAAACCGACGTGATACAACACTTGTATTGTGTGAGTGAGGTTATCGGAGGCCCAACTATCGTCCTCCCAAATTTCCCCAATACCCAACAATCCTCAAATTCCTAATCCCCAAGAGGCCGGTAACGCACTTTTGAGACCTCTGGTCACAGAAATATTACTTCTTTATTATATCTATGCCTCTGGTGTTTAGGGTGTCCATGGGCGACGCCGATTGCTTACCATCAGGTGATCCGTTTGCTCGTTTACCGACTTATCCTTTAAAAAAGGGGTTTTTAAATAGTTAAACAACTGATAGCAGTTTAGTGGTTGTTATGAGTAGACTCCTTCTGTGTCTTTTTAAGGTTAGAACCGATTCTGAGTTAGTTTTTAGTATTTACTTACATACATACATAACATCACGCTTTTTATCCCCGAAGGGGTAGGCAGAGGTGCACATTATACCACTGTACAATGTAACACCCACTTTTCACTATTTATGTTATGAGTCCCATGTAATAGGGGGTGAGCCCATTGCCATATACCGGACATAATTCCAGACTCCGTGCTACTACTGAGAATATATATAAAAACCCAGTAATACTTTGCCCGACCCGGGAATCGAACCCGAGACCCCTTGCCCGGCAGTCGCACTTACGACCACTCGGCCAACGAGGCAGTTTTTAGAATTTTAATAGTAGTTAAATTTTTACTGAAGTCAGTTTAAATTGTTTTTAGTAGCAGTAGCTACTAAAGATTACTTTTATATTAATAATTATTCGTGATGACTGCCTCGTTGGCCGAGTGGTCGTATGTGCGACTGCCGGGATAGGGGTTTCAGGTTCGATTCCCGAGTCGGTAAAATTAAAAATGTTTTTTTTTTTAATTCAGTAGTAGCACGGAGTCTGTAATTATGCCCCGTATATAGCAATAGGCTCAACCTCTATTACATGGGACTCATAACATAAATAGTGACAAGTAGGTGTTACATCGCCATACTGTACAGTACTCTATTAAGTGCCGTAATGTCCAACTCTGCCTACCCTTTCTGAGATAAAGAGGCCTGATGTTATATTATGTCTTTGTGGTGAACTTATTTCATCTTCAATCATGATTATGCTGTAGGTACTTAATTAGATTTACCCAATTGATTAGATCCGAGGTAACCTAAATACCTAATTTCTAGTATTTATTTGAGTTTGTCTATCTAGATTGTGATGGTGTACGTTTAATGTTTATTTGTCTGTAATTGAGGCTATCTACTTGATAAGATATTTTTGATTTTTATGGGTTAATCATGCAAGTCCATTAAAATACGGAACCACGGAAGGCCTAACGGGTTGCCGGGGCTCCGGCTCAACGAGGAGAAGGAACGGGGTGGTTTATAGTCAGTAGGAGTCTGACACTCCCTCTCGCCTAACTCAAGGCCTCAAAAAAGTCCATTTAAATACAAAGTCGTATTTTTAACAAGGATTTTGCAAATAAACTAGACCTGTGAGATTAAAATCCATAAGAAATATTTGTACATCTTACTAATACATATTATAAATGTGTATAAAAGTTTGTGTTTGTGTGGTACTCAATCATATCCAAACGGCTGAAGGGATTGTTTTTTTAAGGGGTGAAAATCATCGACTGACTGTTCCCGCCTGGGTGAGGCGGGAGGGAGTGTCACTCTTACTGACTAAAAACCACCCCGTTCCTTCTCCTGCACGTCGAGCCGGGGCCCCGGTAACCCGTTAGGTTCTCCGCGACGGCTGAAGGGATTGCGGTGAAATTTGGAACAAGGGTATATTATGAACTGTAGTAACACATAGGCAATTTTTTATTCCACGGGAATGCGAGCAAAACCTCTGCCATAAAACTAGTGAACCATAAGGGCAGAACTGTTACTAATTATTATTCTATTGACGGTTCAGAGTGATAGCAAAAAGTCATATGATGCTGTAAGATGTTAGTGTAATTTTTTATTCCACGGGAATGCGAGCAAAACCTCTGCCATAAAACTAGTGAACCATAAGGGCAGAACTGTTACTAATTATTATTCTATTGACGGTTCAGAGTGATAGCAAAAAGTCATATGATGCTGTAAGATGTTAGTGTATCTTTATAGTTTACTAGCTTCTGGCTTCTGCCCGCGACTTCGTACTTTTTCTGTCATAAGAACCATCTCCTGACAATATAAAATAAAACAAAAAAAAAATCAGTCAAATCAGTCCAACTGTTCTCAAGTTATGGCATGACAACGGGAAACGGGTTTCATTTTTACATATATGTGTAGATGTACAAATATTGCACATGGATCTTTGGCTAAGTAGAGGCACATAACTATGAGATTAAACATTCTAAAGTCTACCCAGATAATACAGACTCCCAGAAGAACCAGTCTCCTAAGGCATTGTACTCTCCCAAGAAGAACAGCATTAATCCCCCGAAATGATCATCAGTGTAAGTAATTAATATCTATCTAATTAAAGATTATTAATTAATTATTAGAATGGATTGTTGTAATCTGATAGATAAATAAACAGTACTATTATTATTTGAAGTACTTACTTAAATAAGATTAGGTAATTGCCAACAGTAATGGCGTAAGCTGTAATATTGTATGTGTAAATAAATAAATAAATAATGTAAATAAATATATGTATATGATGTAATAAATTAAATGATAAGATTGCACAACAATTATTGTAATATTATAATCATTTTATATAGGAACAGGAAGATAATACTTCACATTATGTATCTACGAGAACACTCATTTTTAAGTGATATTTTAATTATAGTACAGTGTACACAAATGTTAATTGAAATTCTCAAGAGTAGGTACTTGTAAAATATCTGCATTGAAGGTCTTGCCTCGTTGACCGAGTGGTTGCAAGTGCGACTGCCGAGCCAGCAACAGGGGGTCGGACAATACTACTGAGTTTTTTAAAACAGTCTCAGTAGCAGCACGGAGTCATGAATGACATGGGACTCATAACATAAATAGTGAAAAGTGGATGTTACATTATACAGTGGCATTAAGTGGCGTAATGTGAACCTGTGCCTACCACTTCGGGGATAAAAGGCGTGATGTATGTTAATGTGAAGGTCTTGCTGAGGGCCATTGAAAGATATTATTATGAACATGGTCCATGTCGTGGTGGCCCGGAGGTTTACCCGCACCGTTCGAAACCTACCAACGCACGGCAAGTACCAATGTGACTTTTTCGAGTTATATGTACCTTCTAAGATTATCTAGACACTACAGACAAACGGTGAATAAAAACATCGTGAGGAAACCTGGCCATATAATTTCTAATTGTAGGTAAGTTTGAAATCGCCAACCCGCTATGAGCAAGCGTGATGATTAATGCTCAAACCCTCTCCGTGTGAGAAGATGCTTTGCTCAGAAGAGGGCACTTGATGATGATGATGACGGTCCATGTGGAAAATGTTACGGAAGATGGGGATTATAGTAATTTCTGTGCTTGCTTGCGAACACATTACAATGGGATGATATCTTTTTGGGATACGTGGGCAAACGAGTTGGTGGATCACCTGATGGTAACGGCCACACATCAATCTATACAAAACCAGTTTAACCTGGTGTCGCGTCGTATCATTTTTCCGCACATTTAACGTTCAGTTTATACTGGTTATGTAAAACTCGATGTGTAGCCGTGTGTACCTAAGCAATTATTTTTATTTATGAACATTCGCCATACCAAAGGAGTCATATAGGAGGGGAAGGACTTGTAACACAACTACCGAAAGGTGAACATAGATTTAAATGGCTGCACCGATATTTACCAAGTATTCTGTTAGGGATCTAAATCAGAACTTGGTCTAGATATATACTAAATACTAGATTTTTAGATTGTATGAAAAAAAATGTTACAAAATAAACTTAGGCACGATTTATGTATTATTTTCAACCTACAGATTTCAAAGAAAAACTACATTATACTATGTTATGGCACACTTGCCAATTTTGACAAGTTTTCCATGACATTCAATTTGCTATCAAAGATCTTTTCTACTCTACTCTACTTCACTCCTTGTTACCCTGTTTTTTTATGCTCAACATTCGACAATTTCCTTTCAATTTCAGGTAAACATTCAATGCAATTACGTCGTGCAATTAAATCCAGATATTACGCGAACAAAATAAATATTCGCAATGAAATATTTACACAGTAATATCTAGATTAATATCATTTGTTTATATATACATATGAACAAGTAATATAAGTAAAAACGTTACCATTATCATCTCCGGTTTGAGCACACACTAACACAAAAAAGAAACAACAAAAAACGATCCGATTCCACATCTTTACAACCTTACAATCATTTTTATATTATTATAGGTACGATTATAAAAATAATTCGCATTTAAACGCACTCAACACGACCGTTGGTTGGATATTGTGAACATTTTTGTTACATTAAAATAAGGTACGGTGATAAGCTATCAGTGATCTACACTTCTCTGATATTATGCTTATCGGGGGAACGCGTCACTCATTATAGAGAGTAGTGCGATTCACTACATCAGTGATTTGCATTTAACCTTGCTAGAGGTAGAAGCTATTGTCTAGCCATCATAGCCTAGCATAACCGGCTATGACGACGTCTTACATCTGATGGACAAAGACGAGACGTAACTCATATTGTGTACGTATGTCCATGTAATATAGATGTTTTATCACATTGTACATATTTGTTTTTCTCAGTACCTACCGGTAATATCCCTTCGTCAAAACTAATTATATCAAATAGATTAACGAGTTTCTGTTTTAATGTCTTTTCTCAATAAATGTAGAAAATAAATTGTTGTCCATTAATCACTGGTGCTAATTTATCCTTCAATGTTTAGGGGCAATAAATCAATTAGTGAAAAATCTGTACTAGTCGCCAAACGGCTTGTCCTTATCTCTATCTCAATTTGTGAATGATTTACTTATCTTTAATGTACACAAACAATATTTTAGTAGTTTGTTTATTCGAATAGTTCTGTCTATTTCGACATTTTTATTTTCAATTTATTACTTGTCGGCTATAAACCATGGGTTATGGAAAACCGATATGGAGTTTACGTTAACATAATGTTACGTATATTTTTCACCATATGGATAGGTACAGCTGACTTACATAATAGGCACCCACTTTTTGTTAGTTGTATCGTCGCTTTCTCTGTCCCTATGTCCCTTTGTATGCTTAAATCTTTGAAACTACGCAACGGATTTTGATGCGGTTTTGTTTACTAGATAGAGTGATTCAAGAGAAAGGTTTATATGTATAATACATGCATATTGCACCCGTGCGAAGCCGGGGCGGGTCGCTAGTTTATTTATAAGGTAGGGATCACATGAGCAAGTGTATGACCTGATGTTAAATGCTCAGTGTCGCCCATCCGTAACATCAGAGAAATTACAAATGCATAGTAGGATCTTTATCTTAGCTAACAAATTAGGTAGCCTTCAATGCATCTTATATTTATGTAATTGTACATACATATAGACTAATGGCTGTTTCTTTATTATAGGATTTTAGTTTTCAAATTCTGAAAATCCCTACAATTATTTCTAATAGAAAGAAGAGAAATAGTAGCCTAAGTATATATATATGTATGCCGCGGAGAACTTAATGGGTTACCGGGGCTCCGGCTCGAAGTGCAGGAGTAGGAACGGGGTGGTTTTTAGTCAGTAAGAGTCTGACACTCCCTCCAGCCCAGGCGGGAGAAGCCATTCGATGATTTTCCCCCCTTAAAAAAAGTATATACTATGTATGTATCTCTAAACAGTTTTGTATATGTATACGTGATGTGAATTATAATAATAATGTGCATATTTACATTAATACATATATTACTAGCTTCTGCCCGCGACTTCGTACGCGTAATTCCATTTTTTCCCGTCCCCGTTCGTGATTTTCGGTAAAGAGTAAAAAAAACAAAATTTTGGTCAAAAATTAGACAATTAGAGTATCCTATGTTAGTCTCCTGGCTCTAAGCTACCTCCCTACCAATTTTCAGCCAAATCTATTCTGCCGTTCTTGAGTTATAAGTGGTGTAACTAACACGACTTTCTTTTATATATATAGATGTCCTAAGTAATATCAGCGTAAGTAAGTAGGTACTCAATATACTTAAAATTCTTTACAATATTATTTAGAATATCATTGTATGAATTTCTCAGAAGATTGATTACTACAACCCACGTATTTAAGTAGATTAAGATACCAACTACGAACTGCATACAAAGCTACCCTAAAACTGTTCATATCTTTAATAGATTTTCACCACTATTACAAGACAGTAAAGTTAAGATTTCATTAAAGGTTTTGAAACCTTTGGGTAGTTTGTTGTGCTGATACGTGTACAAAGAGAGGTTTATTTTTTGACATGAATTGTTAGTTTCTTTACGTATTTGAAGATTAATGATAATGATAGTAAGTACTTACTGAATACCATTTTTGCATTTTCTTAAACAGTAATCAATACATACATAACTTCACGCCTGTCTCCCATACAACCCAAACAACAAAACTATGTAACTAGAGAATTGTATTGTGAACTTGATTGAAAAAGAGTAACCTATGGAGTTTCTTACTCGTTCTTCTCCATAGGAATCTACACCTTGGAATGTGCATATAGCTTCACATTTTATTTTTTTTTGTTGACGTTCAAAAGTGCCTTTCTGGCCTAATTGAAATAAATGATTTTGACTTTGACTTTGACTTTGAAGGGTAGGCGAAAACTATGAAACGCCAATTGCTACAATTCTTACAAACCTCTTTCGCGTCGTCTACTAATTAAGTAATTAATACATCTTCACGTTAAAACGAAAGTTACTCTATTATCAGACTATTTAGAAGAGCCCTTGATCGGAACAGAAAATCGAACGGGGTGGTTTTTAGTCAGTAATGGCCATTTCCACTAACCACCCCAAAACTATCCCTAAACTAAAACTTTACTAAGCGTGACGTAGCATTTAAACTAACCCCTTACTGTATTGTACCGTTGGGTACCTACTTAGGTGTCATTTATAGGTTGGTAAAAACGTAAAAACCAGAAAGTCATACTGTGATAGATAGTGTCGTTATGTGTCATAATTTTTTATTCATTTTAAGTTGTAGGTACATATTTGTTTATTTGCTTATTTTATTTGCTTATATCATGTAAATAAGTAAAAACAAATAAATTTTTATTTCTTGTATTTGATTACCTAATTAGTTTGTTTTTAAGTACCTAAATAATATCATTTATATAAGATTAACAGTATACCTTAATGGCGTAAGCTGTGGTGTTGTATATGTACCTACATTTTTCTAAAATAAATGTCATGAAATGTAACCTATCTTAGCTTAAAATTTAGAAGAGGTTAAAATGAACATGAGAGAGTCTGTCATTTAATCCCGCCTTTCTCATGGCAAAAGAAGTTATTTAACGATTTTTGTACCTCAGAAAAAGTGTTGCAATAGACCCTTTATTTATTCTATACGTACCTAATATATCGTTCGTAAGTTCCTAATCTCTTGATATCACCTAATATCTATTTATAGGATACATGTCAATTATGTTGATACGAATCTGTGGAAGTGTTTTTATCTAAAGTACATATTTTACGTATTTTATCTGTGGTTATCACAGCGATCAATATAACTGTCACCACATGGTAATGCCGGTAGAGATTTTCAAGTTATAGTTTGTTGGAACTTGTTGGAAAGTACTTATTTTGGTCAATAGATGGCGCGAATATAGGAAGAGATTTTTAGTTCAATCACAGCAGTTTTCAAATAATGAACGTCCAATGGGGTGACATTAGCTAATTTCCTATTGGACGAAGAACGAGAGGTTCACACTAGGGCAAGTGGTGCGCTAAAATACGGTAGGCCTCATTAGTTAAAACTTTATGACACTTTAGTCTACGATTGAAACCGTACGGTTATTTTTAAACCGTTTTATTAAGCTTGATCCGTTTGTTTGTTAAGGTTTTAATTCGAATTTTACCCCCTTCCTGACGACACATAGATCTAGGTGCTTACTCTTGACACCAATCTCAATGCAATTTCAATTCAATAAAATCTCAATAATTATTCATTGCAAAATTATACAATCCCTATCGTAGCTATTAAAATAACATTCAACATTCAGTATCGAATATACAGCCTAACTCAATAAAATTTAGTTCACTAAATATCTACGCAATACAGATGCAATGGGCGCTAGTGTTGTAACTCAGGAGTAGGAAATTTCACAATAGCAATGTCGATCGATCGGAATTGGATTTAAGAATAAGCCCCCAGATATTTGGTACACCCTTAATTTAGGCTTTAGAGCAATACTTTTAAAGACTAAGTAGGGAACTAGTCGAAATCCAGTAGGTAATCTAGAACTAGTAAAAAATATCTAAGTATAATATGATGTCTCAACCGTCTGCTATTAAAAAGGTGGCCTGTTAAAAGAAAAGCTTTCCGCCATAAAAATCTTTTATCCAGTTCTGTGGGGAACTATTCACTGTTCTATAGTGGATATTAAATTTTATGGCACGTCATATTATGGTAATTTTCATATTGATTTGGCAAAGTAGGTATCTAGGTTCTAGTAACTATACCTATGGTTTGGTGGGTATCCATAGACAGCGCTGATCACATATCATCAGACAGTGATCTTTCTGCTCGTTTGTTCCCTATTTTGTAAAAACGTCGTGCTTCATAGTAGACCGCATCATCGCTTACCACCAGGCGAAATAGTGGTCAAACGTCGGCCCATCAAACATATATAAAATATATAAAAAAACGACTGGTAATTTATTTTTCTGTCATAATATTACAAAGTCTTAAAAAGTTGGCTAGGTCGACCAAGTTAATAAGTTTGATTAACTACTTTCTAGCTAAAAAATCGCCTTCGTGGAATCACCTTCAGTCTAAAACCTAGACTTTGTCTAAATTATGTAGGCATTACGTACCTAATTCTAAGTTACACACAGACCATTTTTCTCTCATAATTAATAGTTATAGTTTTACTTTATGCTTTTTGTCTGGGTATATAAAAGTTTAATTAAATGAAAATATTTGTATTCTAAAGCCCTTGTTAAAATGTCAAAAGCCATAGCTTTAGTGTATTTAACATTTTTGATTAGATATTTGTTTTAGGAATCTACCGCTCCCCATCATTTAGTAACGCTGAAAGGTTCCTTAATTCCTTAGAAAACACACTAAATAGCTTAAGTAGCAGTGCTTGCCTAATTGTAACAGGGGACATAAACCTCAATCTCTGCGACAGTAGTCCAAACGCCAGCTTTATCCCTTACCAGTGCCTCTTGTTGGA